TTTATCGTTATGCTTTTCCAGTCGTATCGTTATGATTTCCAATATGATATTGATTATTATATGTCGTATATAATAATCAAAATATGTTTGTGTATCCATATATATTAAAAAACCATGTATTTTGGTTTGTAAGTAAAATAAAAATAAAAATACACTCGTTAAATCAGTCAACGGATGTCTAAATACGGAAAGTGATGAAGTTCATTACATTAGTGATGTTTCTAACGAGTTTGCATTGAATCAATAATAAACATATAAATGTGTACTCAATGTATTCGACGTAAAAGTTGCTGATAAATACAAATAGAATCAAAATCTTTTTTTAACATAATATTAAATAAACTTTATATCGGTCATTTAATTATAAATAATATTATCATATTTATCATCTAAAAATTAAACAACTATATGAAATCATATATGGAAATCGTAAGTTAAAAATAAATAATTAACAAATAATTTGCAATAATACTTTGTAACAAAAGTTTGTAGCATTACAGTTAATTAATATAAACTATAAACATATAAGAAAGGCTAATAATATAATCGATGATTATATATTATAATCGACTATGACTTTTAGCGCATTGCATTAATTTTACTAATTGTGAGTTTCAAACGACTCAAACAACTGTCACGATAAAACGATCGAATAGCTATATTTCAAGCAATCATTATAGAAAGCAATTAAATAAATACTATAGAGACACTTCGATGCGCGGGGACGTATCCGACTCACAAAGTATGCATCGATGGCACACAGCAATTGCTCGTTTTCATGTCGTCTGTAGATTCTTCTAAATGGCAAAATTAAAAATAGATTCGTTCGCCCTCGGCGATAAATCAATTAAAACGCTGAATCGAATCGTGAATGCGTACGTGCGTGCGTGCACGCATGTTCTAATTTAATCGATTGGCGAGGCGCATACACACGTTCCATCGCTCACGATTGCACCTCCTTTTCGCTCGTTTAATCCTCCACTGTCTGCGCTGTTTTTTTAAACGTATTTATTAGCACAAAGTGTATTTTACTTCCTTACGTAATATTTCAATTTTCATTGTTTTGATATTTTGTCTTTAAATAAGAGTTGATATGATTGCGTACCAATTTATGATATACGCAGTAATATCTGAAAATTACAAAATATACATAAATTTAAAGGAATTTAATATTCTTATTGTAATTCTCAACTAATTTTTTACAAAAATATATTATTTTTAATATAATTATTATGCATTCTTATATAATTCATAAAATTATATATGTTTATATATGTTTATATAATATAATATCTTATAATATATTCTATGTACAGTACAACATATGAGTTTTGTAAAAATATTTTGTTAATATTATGTTAATATTATGTTAATATCTTGTTAATATCATGTTAAAAATATCTTGTTAATAAAATTCTAAATTGATCAATTTATTCCCTTCTAAATCGCGTTTTTATATTGAGTGTGAGTAATAGCAGATTAATCGGTGCATCGATATGCCCATGACAATTGAAACTGTGTATCCAACTAACTGTGAATTATCAGATTTCAATAAAACGATATATAAACAATATGCGAATTGTTTAATACGATTCGTGTTAACATGCAAAAAGTATTAATTTATTAATATCGATACATAATATAATTTATAGACGAATAATAAAATTCGTTTCTTGGTGGCAATAATATTCTTGAAATAAAGTAAATACCCGTTTTACGATCAATAATAATAAAGATTTTTGGCAAAGGAAAAAGAAAAAGGAGACATGCAAATTTAATTGATTTAAATTTGTATAGTATTGAAATAGTGCTAGATCGACATTGTAGTTCATAATCATTAAGATTTAAAGCATTAAATATTTTATTATTCTCTATCAAATTAAGAAATTTATAATAAATTGTTTATAATTTATTTTAACTTCCAATATTAAGAATGTTACATGTATTTTTCAATTAATTTAATTGCTGATATATCAATACTTCTATTTTAAGAGAATTAATTACACGCGACTTAAATTCCATTTATTAACATAATATGTATAAAATTAAAGAAAAAAAATTTTCATGCAATTTTATACACAACGTTTAATACAGTCAAATTGTAAAGTCGCAACGTGTCTTTCTAAAAAAGTTATTGTTTTAAAAAGTAAACAATTTCTAAAACAAAGTCTCTTTTTCTTTATCTTATCGCAATTTTTGTGAGATTTTTCGTGGCGAGTAAAACCGTCGTGTGATGAAACGGAGGCAAAATTGACACGTAAATAATAATGTCCAATTAGAACAACGCAATCTTATCTTGCTGAGTAAACCAGAGAACCACCCGATTAAACACCGCAAACACGTCGTCCCTTATTTTTTCTCGCAGTTCCGTCGGAACTTTTTCAATTTTAAAGTTAAATCGCGATCCAACAAGATTTATACTCGCGCTAATGCAATATTTTCTTAGCCAAGAGGACGTTCGTTTAGACTACAGGACCAATGTGACTATGAGGGATGAAACGATGTGTTCTTCATCTCCCGGATTTTGTACATTCAGTGATGTACATGAGTGTCGCTTTAAATGAATCCGCTTAAGCGTTGAGAAGACCATTTTATCTTAAGAAAATCTTTGTATTGTTTTACATTCGACAAAATTTTTGTTAAAATAAAACTGGCGACAAACTAAAATTTACGAAAAATCTTTAATTTGCTACTTGATGAAATCATAAAATTAAAGCAATTGTTATTTTTTTCTATCTACTAATATTAGAAATATTTTTTCCCAGGCGTTCATTTATGTTTTGACCCAATTCTTACTTGTTTCCAGACATTTTCTTTTCACGCGCTTCATTCTACATTTCTATGCGATCCGTTGTATACGGACACTTCATGGAGAAACATGCAAATTTTCAAAAATGTGAATATGACACATTGCATACTCACCTACAGCTCCTGTTCTCTTTGCAAGTCTCGGCCAAGCTGTGACACGTTGGCATTTCGGCGCCGTCTATGCGCTGCGCGCAAGTTGGATGCATTTTCTCTTGTGCTATTATGCACTCGTCCTTTTTGCTGTCCGTTTTCCTGCAACACGAGAAACACATATAGACGATGTAACAAGATTCAAGAAATTACTGTTAAAGAATTTTTTTAAGTACTCTATAGTTTATATAGAAGATATGCTCCGACAAAATTGAATCTACAATATTATCTAAAATAAGAAACAATTCGTATTAAAAAAAACATATTGTAACATAAAATTTCAACTATGTATAATATAATTAGAAACTAATTTACCATCTAATAAAATATGCAGCATAATAAAATATGTTAAAATTATTATCAATATTAAAAACATAAATAATATTTTTAATTATAGCATAGTAGAAAATGGAGTTTGCATAGCATGCATTGTCCATTCGAGTGTTAATCGAATGTAATAATTTATTCAGCTGTGTTTTCTTATTGTTTGATTCTTATTTCGGATGGACAAAAGAATCATTTCATGAAAAAGACTACCGCAAGGATTCGCAGAATAAAAGTAAGATGCAAAACGAGAACGGAAAGTTTCTGCATTGTTTTGCGACCGAAAGTCATTTAAAAATTAAAGGAGCCTCGTTAAAAAGGAGTCTTTCGCGCGAGAAGAATATTAGAGTTGTTTCAAGGATTTTCTCGAAATTGTCATTAGATCGCAAATTAATTTTACTTCATTTTTCTAAGATTTTCATAGATTTTTATAAATCAATTTTCTTATCTGATGTTTGTTCTAACTGGAAATAATTTGTATATACAATTTTTATGAATTAATCTGTCTTAAGTAATTATTGAAACTATAAAGTACTTTTACATAAAAGTTCACAATTATAAAATTTTCTTAATTAATATTATTACAAAAAATTGTTTAATATTGAAAAAGATACTTTGATAATTACACGAATCTTTTATCCTATCTCATTACTTCATTTTATCGACTCACTATTGTACCAAAGTCTTTCCTAACTTTTATGCAAATCT